ATTGAAAACTAATTATATTAAAATATACAATCGATTTTTAAATTTAAATATTATCATTTATTAGAGTAGATTTCTAAATTTTAAACTTAAATTTTCAAATATAAATTAAGATTTTATTACTTTGGGAGTTTTACCTTCCTCTTATAATTATCATTTTAAAAGGAAAGTGTAAAGATACTGAAAACATTACGGAAATGATATCAAAAAGGACAAATTGATAATTAAATTTAAATATTTTAAATTAAAAATTAAGGGTATTAAATTAGAATAGAGTAGTGTAACATAAATACATTAATTTTTTTTAAAAAAATGTATTTATAGTACTTTTTATTATTACTTGATGTATGAAATTATAAAAATAAATTTTATTACTAAAATATTTTAATTAGACCATGAATAAAGTTCAAATTATTTTTTATTTTTTATTTTTAATAAATTAACACTAAAAAATAATCCGTTCTAATCCAGTGGTATTGAACCTTGAATTAAGACTATTCACCTCCGTGGGTGGCGTATTCGAGCCCATGAAACTCATTTTTCTTCGTGAGTGGCATATTCGAACCCATGAAACTCATTTTTCCCCTCTCTATATATACATGTAAATAATGCCAAAATTGTTAAAAAAAAAAATTAACACTCAAAATATGCCATAAATACACATAATGCACTCCCTAGAAATTCCTTTATTTATATTGCAACTTGGCAGAGATTGTACCCATGTCTTTCTTCTTTTTCTATAAAATCATAGATAAGCGTAAGGATTGAGAGTATACATTCACATTTGCTTTCTCGTTTTTTCTCTCCTTCTCAGTCCTTGTCATGAAATAATATCTAAACTCTTTCTGGTTTTTGGTGATTTGGTCTTGATTTTCTGATAAGTGGGGAATTCTGTGTTTTGGTGCCTATATCCACCAGATTCAGTATTCAGAGGAGATATAAGCTGTGTGCTTTGATTGGTGATTAGCGTTTGGTTTTCCTTAGTTTTTATCTTAAAAGACCCAATTTTCATCAACTTTTAGCTGGTCTTTTCAGCGTATGTAGAAATCTTCTGTACATTAATTCACTTCTTCCTTATTTCTTGCTCATATTGTAAAGGATCTCCTCATTGGATATAAGGGTCATATTCAAAATTTTGACTTTGAAAGTGGAATTGAAAACTTCTTAGCCACCCTCAGAAAACCCAAAATCAGGCATGACATTCAAAGTTTGAAATTCAATTACCCTTTTCCTTTGATGTTGTTTTTAACAAAATGTATTGATTGGTTGCTAATTTTTTGAGTTTAACATGATGTGCAGATATTATTGGGGATTACATTAGTGGAGGTTTAAAGACGTTTATAGATTATTCACAAAGCACTGACCTTTAATTCGAGTAGTTTCACTTATTTGAAAATGACAATTGGGGATATTGCACCTAAGAAAGAAAGGACATCAAAGAGGAGCAAACTTGTTGTTGATGAGAAGGCTCCCTTGTTGCCTAAAAGTGAAGAAGATGTTGGTTATGATGAGTTCAATGGAGCCTCCTTTACTGGGGCAGTGTTTAACTTATCAACAACTATTATTGGTGCTGGGATCATGGCCTTGCCTGCCACCATGAAAGTTTTGGGTCTGGTTGTTGGAATTGGTATGATAGTCTTTATGGCTTTCTTGTCTGAGGCCTCCATTCAGTTCTTGCTGAGGTTTAGCAGGGCTGCAAAATCAACATCTTATGGAGGGCTTATGGGGGACGCCTTTGGGAAGTATGGAAGGGTTGCCTTGCAAGTTGCAGTTTTGGTCAACAACATTGGTGTTCTCATAGTGTACATGATTATTATTGGTATGCCTTGATTATAACTTCTTTTATTTTATTGTGGCTGCTTATGGTTTGATATTAAGTTTGTGTTTTTGATTTGTACCGTGATGAATCTAGGTGAAACCCTCAAATCCACCCCAAACAGATAGGTAGGGACAGATCTGCTCCTTAAAAAAATATAAGGACAAATTACCCTTTAAATTATTGATCAAGACAAATCATCCATTACTTATTGTGTCACGTTATCACACGTTGGGCAAATGGATTCCTGACAATTTGGAGGGGCAATTTGTACTTGCATATTTTTAGAGTAAATCTGTACCTGCACCTCTATTTGGAGGGTGGATTTGGGGGTCTGACCATGAATCTATTGTAATAACTTATTTATTTGTGAAGATAAGATCTCTTTTCTGTTTTGTTATGGGAAAGTTCTAAATTTGATTATCTGTTGGTCTATTTTTATTGAAGGTGACGTGCTTTCTGGAACATCTTCAAATGGAATTCACCACGCCGGTGTCCTTGAAGGTTGGTTTGGTCATCACTGGTGGAATGGTCGTACCTTGGTTCTTCTCATCACAACTCTTGGCATCTTCACTCCATTGGCATGCTTTAAGCGGATTGGTTAGTCTTTCAGCTTTGTTAATCTTCCATTCTTGTGAATAGTGTAGTTAAGTTATTACAGCAGTACATCATATCATACAGAAATAGGGGATGTTGATTGATTATTATTTTGTTTTTGAATTTTTTTTTTAATTTTTTTAATGATTGGCAAAGATATATTTTGTTTTTGTTTTTGAATTGCTCTGGTATTTTACAATGTTCTTTATGACAAATACAGCTTCTTAGTTGTGTGTTGTCATCATCTTTTCCTCCTTTCCTCCTTTCCTCCCTGTCCAAGTTTTCTTAAATAGATTTAATGTCAACTCATTCTTCCTTCTTAAAATTAGTTAGTATCAAAACTTTTTCATGCGTTTAACATCCATATATTGTTTATGATGGAAATCCTTTTTCTTTGCAAGTTTGCATCTTTTCCTCTGACTGGAATCTTATCCTTTCTGACTATTTGGTAATAGTCTAATAGTCTATGTTGGATAGTTTGTGCTGTTAGTGAATTTTAGCCTAGTTGTATTTGACTGTTTAATTGTGGAGTGCATTTGTGCTTTTCATGGATGTAGGTTCATTGAGTTTCACATCTGCCTTATCAGTTGCACTGGCAGTTGTGTTTCTTGTTATCACTGTCGGAATTACAATTCTCAAGTTGATTGGTGGAAGTATAATGATGCCCAGATTGCTACCTGATGTTACTGATTTGACTTCATTCTGGAAACTCTTCACGGTAGTTCCTGTTCTGGTAATGGCATTCATCTGCCACTACAATGGTATGCAAACTGATATACTATATTAAATGTGTTAAATGTGTCTGTATTATACTATGGAAAAATTTTGCTTAAATTTGATGATGATCAAGTTCCTCTCTCTGGAAATCCCCCTCCCTGTACTGAGTAACTGGGAAGTTCTGCTAAAATCCTGGTACTGCTTATGGATAAATTTATTTCTAACAATTTTGGGGGGGTGGGCGGTGGGGGTTTGTTATAAACTCAAGAATTCCAATGTAAGCGAGCATTAAGGAGTACATTTTTAATCTGTTAAACTGGGGCTTTGCTTTATTAATAATGGCTGATTTGTCTTGTACACCTGATTTGCAGTTCACAGCATAGATAATGAACTTGAAGACTCTACACAGATAAAAGGAGTTGTTCGAACTTCTCTTGCTCTGTGCTCATCTGTTTACATAATGACAAGCCTTTTTGGAGTCCTCCTTTTTGGTGATGAAACTCTTGATGATGTGCTTGCCAACTTTGATACAGACCTTGGCATTCCTTATAGTTCCCTGCTTAGTGATGTTGTCCGTGTTAGCTATGCTGCTCATCTCATGCTTGTATTTCCCATTGTCTTCTACCCATTGCGGCTTAACTTGGATGGGCTCCTCTTTCCCTCAGCCAGGCCTTTGGTTGTATCCAATTTGAGGTTTGCTTTGATTACTACAGGCCTCATTTCTCTTATCTTCTTGGGTGCAAATTTCATACCCAGCATCTGGGATGCTTTCCAATTTACTGGAGCAACTGCTGCAGTTTGCATTGGGTTCATTTTTCCTGCTGCCGTTACTCTTAGGTAAGTTTTTCATTTTGTTAGTCTAATTAGCTACCTACTCTTTTTTCTCCCTGCATCATTGTTTCAATGGCTAACTTTTGGTTATCATATATGATAGAGAAAGGCATTGTTTCAGCCTACTGCCTACATGTCGTCAAATATGCTATAGTAATAAATTTTCAGGATATAAAACATAGTTGCTTTATTACCAGCTTTCTCCCAAACTGGAGTTGATTTGAAATGAGATAAGGCAATACCATCATTCAGTAAAAGATTTCAGAGGTGAATGCCAGTCAGTGTTTAACTGTTTTTCATTGGTGTTTCAGGGATCAGCACAACATAGAGACAAAGAGGAACAAGATTTTAGCTATTTTCATGCTCGTCCTTGCTGTATTTTCAAACTTGGTGGCTATATATAGTGATGCCTATACCATCTTCAAAAAGAATGGTCCTCGTGCATGATCTGTGCTGTTATTCCTCATTTAGGACTTTAAAGGCATGGTATTGCATTTTTTGAAGAGCTCTGATTTGCCGAACCATCAGAGTCCAACCTAGGTTTTTCGAAGGAAGTTTGGTAGCTGAATTTTAATAAGACACCCTTTTCTCAATGTACAAAGTTGGTTTGTTTTACATAATATATATGTATATATATAAAGAAAAAAAAAAAGAAAAAAAAGAGGAGAAGTAGAAGCTTGTTGTAGCCCATGGATATCTTTACAGTCCCTTAATATGTGCTCTTGTATCTTATGTCTGAAACAAATATATGCAATTAGAATTGTGTTGTTGTGCATTCTCTCATATGCATATTATTATTATTTTTGGTCCTTGGTTTATTTAGGATTGCAGAAGTTTGAACTCATACGGAGCACTTGGGTCTGCAGCTTGGGTAAGATTTTCATGTTTCATACGGGATGAAGATCCTGCTGCATGTCTAGACCGTAATCGCTATCCATTTTTCATCCATAAAACACTTAAATTGCCACCAGTGTCAGCCTCTTAACGGGATTGTCTCATACTTTTCTTTCCTGTTCTCATCAGAACGGTTGCGAGAGGCATTGCGGGACTGATAAATGTCTAGAAATGAAGTGAACTTCACTAGGGTCTTACTCAACTCATTTTTTTACTTTGAATTTTTTTTTTTTAAAATTAATTATGTTTTGTTTTTTATTTTTAAAGTAACTAAATATATTTTTTATTTTAATTTTATTATTATTCATTCACTTTAAATAATTATCTATTCACGAAAATCTATTCGTCTTTTATTTATTTTTAAAAAATATTATAAATACATACAAATATTTTCTCTAAATTTTTAATTAAAAATTAAATAATAACAATTATTTTAGACAAAAAAAAACCTCTTTATCTCAAAATAAAATCATTAACTGTTACTTTTTTATTTTTTCGAATTTTATTATTTCGAAGACATACATTTACCTACTTTAACTCTATCATTATCAATTTACTTTAATTAATTATCCTATTAAAAAAAATATTTTATATTTTAATTCTTTTTTAAAGATAATATAAGTCAAAAAACATAAATTGTCCTTTAGATCCTTAATATAGAGAAAATATCAAAAAACCAATAGTTATTTTAAAATAAAGAAAGCAGTAAGAAATTATTATTACCTTCTTATCAATACTAAATGGCCCTAATCCATCTAGCACAAGCATATAAGCACATAAAGTACACATCTTCATTACATGATTAACAATCGAAACATAACAGAGAATGAGAGAAATCAAGAGTGTTCAGTAATGGCAATTAAAGGACCATCAACTCCCCACCGTGTCACACCAGTTTCTTTTATTTCTTTTCTCAGCAAATGCCCAAGTACCAACCCGAGTTCACAACGCCATGTATGAGAGTCTGCAAGAAACAAAGATCCAAACGTTAATGAAAATTCATTCACTCTAAAACAAAAAGAATGTAACAGAGATAAGCATTCGTTTCATAACTTACAAGTGAAAGCAGGAGTATCACCATTCAAAGTCTGGCTTTCAGCTCTTCTGCCACAGCATCAATGAACTCTTCAGTATTAAGATACCGGTCCCTTGAAATCCTGCATCATTTACAAGTTAGTTACAACCAGATTATGCATGAAACAGATACGCATGCAAGTCACAGCCTTAACCCTGGATGTGTGTCGTGTGTGTGCATAAGTACACTATATGTACTTAAGCTGCATGAGACAATCCCTAGATACTTACTTAGATCCATGGATGATAAGTGCAAGATCTTTGGTCATCTTCCCAGATTCTACAGTTCCAACACAAGCGGCTTCTAGCTTCTCAGTGAAATCCAATAGTCTAGGATTGTCATCAAGCTTTGCCCTGTCAACAAAATATATAAATTCTTAGCATTCCCTATAATCATTTTAAAATATAACTTCCTAGGGTAAAAATACAAACAAATATCTTTACCAAAACTGCAAACACAAACCTGTGTGCAAGCCCTCGTGTCCAAGCAAAGATTGAGGCTATGCTGTTTGTGCTGGTTTCACCACCTTTCTGGTGGACTCTGTAATGCCTGGTAACAGTACCATGAGCTGCCTCTGCTTCAATTGTCTTCCCATCTGGGCACACCTGAACTCCGATCCGTTTTCTAGCGAGTTAGAAAAGCAGCTTCCCTCTTTGCCTTAGGTAAATGGTGTACACACCATGGAATAAGAAGATAGAAAATTGAGAAAGGAAATTTTTGAAATGAGAAATATACCAGTACAGATGTCATCAATCCAAGAGATCCAAAGCCTACAAAATGAAGTTAGGAGTCAACACCAAATAAATAACAGCTTAAATTAAAATTGATGCAGTATCCAATTTTAATATTGAGCCTCTTCCATAGACAAAGCCTAACCTTGGGCTAAGAAATCACTCTGTACGTCACCATCATAATTCTTGCATGCCCACACATATCCTCCTTCACTCTTGAGAGCATATGCCACCATATCATCAATGAGACGGTGTTCATACCTTCAATTTAATCATGCAAATCAATATTTACTATATATAGAAGCAACCACACTGCCAAAAACAATACCTACTAGATACTCACCATATCCCAGCAGCCTCAAACTTTGATTTCCAGTTAGCCTCATAAACCTCTTGAAAAATGTCCTTAAATCTTCATTGAGTAAACAAATATGCTTATAAGTGGGGCAAACAAACAGCAGGAAAAGGAAAGTACTTACGAGGGTTTAAACTATAATACCAATAGAACAAGGTGCATACCTTCCATCATACTTCTTAAGAATAGTATTTTTTGTGCTGAGATAAAGTGGCCACTTCTTCTGATAAGCAGTGTTCATGGATGCCTCAGCAAAAGCACGAATGGACTGTACCACCAAGTTAATGGTAAAAGGAAAATAAATCAGCTACTCTGAGAATAAGAAAATCTGACCTCAAAGAAACCATCAAAAATCAATAGCTATAGACCTCATCTGTATTGTACATGGACAATGCAACTCCTCCATCACCAGTGAAGTTGAAAACCTCATGCTCTTGCTTCTCACCCTCTCCTTCTGGAACTGAAAGCAATGGTAAATAATGAGATCAAGTTCAGTTGGAAATTTGCAACTATTAAGTAAAATAAATAAGTAGTGTGCATTTGAGAAATCAAGGAAAGGGAAGAAATTACCAAATACAAGTTTAAGTTTTCCAGCACCCTTAATGACAGCATCAGTTGCTCGGTATTGATCACCAAATGCATGCCTTCCAATGCAAATTGGCTTTGTCCAACCTGAAAACATGCGAAATCAATGCAGCTTCATATGAACACTAACACTAGAAGTACGGAACTCATAGGTAATTAAATAGTCAAATACCTGGGACAAGTCGGGGAACATTTTTGCAAAGAATGGGTTCTCTAAAGACAGTGCCTGCAAATCATGCCAACCAAAGTTGTTCAATATGAACCAAGAAGCAATTTAAGGCAAAAATTATTATACACACAATAAACATATTTAAGCCTTTCATTGCTAACCATTCAAAATGTTCCTAATTGTCCCATTTGGACTCTTCCACATGTACTTCAAACTAAATTCCTTCACACGAGCCTCATCTGTCAAAAGCCAGCACCGTATTGTAAAAATTTGTCCATGGCATGAATTCACAAATATCATTAATTCACTATGGGAAGATGGAGGAATACCTGGAGTGATGGTAGCACACTTGATTGCAACATTGTACCTAAAAAAGAACCCCCAAAGTTTTTAGCACTCATCAAGTGGGATAACTACAGACAGAAAATACTAGTAATAAAAAGACTGCAATTCAAGTGAAGAAACATTCAACTTTTATAGTTCTAGCTTACACAAACATCAGCACCAAAAACAAGAAGCAAAAACAAAATATCTTCCCATTTGTTATTCCACTCAACCAAAACATGGAGTCACATCATAACAAGAAGCAAAAAACAAGAATAGCAAACAAAACCAACAAAAAACAAAATCACAGGAAATGAGCAGAGTAAAAATAACCAAAAAAAAAAAAAGAAAAAGGAATGAACATATTATGGTTTTTAGAATCACTGAAACATACTTAAGTGTGGCTTCTGCACTCTCAACAGTGACTTTGTCATCGGTACCATCGCGATAGGGCAATCCGAGGTCAAAGTACTTAATATCCAGATCCAAAAAGGGCAAAATAAGCTGTAGAACGTAGTAAAAGTAATGCTTAATCAATCATTTTCCAAAATTTTCAGCAGAAATGATATAATCGAATGCTTAACACTGATAAATCAGGTTAACAGCGAATCACCTTATCCTTGATCATTTTCCAGATAACTCGAGTCATTTCATCGCCTACGATACACGAAAAAACGCATCAGTGAACCGAAACTCTCAATCAAAAGCACAGATTCGAAAGAAGATATTAGTCAGGATTCGAAAATTCAGCGATAAAGTAAGAAGATGGACTTAGATCATGGAATTTCAATCAAACAATGAACTGAAATCTAGATCTGTGAATTCGAGGCGGAGAAGAGAGGGATCTGACCGTCCATCTCGACAATGGGATTGGCGACCTTGATCTTCTCAAACGCCATGGCTGGTTTCTGCAACTGATTGAGTTTGGGAGAGAAGATATTTGCAGCGATGCGCAGTAGCAGAGTCTGAGACGAAAAGTTAGAAGGCACTTTCTTACTCCCACCTAACACATTCGACTTATATATGGTGGACCTCCGCAACAGATTTTTGTGAAACGATTTTTTTGGCTTTTTGCCCAGTGGGCATACTTTTAGAGAGGTTAGATTTAGTCCTTGATATTTAAATATTGTTTAAATTGAGTCTCTGGTTGTTTATTTGATCACAGTTGAAGTCCTTTAGTTTCTTTTTCTTTTGGGAAGTTATCAAATTACTATTTTGAAAATTTTAACATACTCCATAAAATTAAGAAAAAAAAAAACATTTTCAAACTATGTCTTTTAATAAATTCTTTTTTTTAATAAAATACCATATTTTTAAATATGAATGAAAGACTATTTTGACATTTCTTGTAATATTTTATTAAAACAACATAATTTTAAAGTATTTTTCTCTTAATTTTTTGTAAGTCCAATAAACACTAATACTCAACATTTATATATCTACGTTTAATGAATTAAATCACAAATAAAACATTAAAGATTGGTTACTT